CTGGCTTCGTCAACCACGTTTACCCTCCGAATAACCCCGATATTCATGGCGACCCCCGGAAGTACGATCTGCTCAAAGACATGCGGACGGCTCGAGAGGAGATGGACAAATTGTTCGCCATGGGTGAAGATCTCTGGGCGGAGTGGATTCAGGATGAAAGCATGCTGGCACAATCGGTGGAAGAGCGCATCGCAGTGATGGAGCTCTGTCAGCGTTCGATCGAGGAAGAATACGGTAGCACCAAGCTATGGGGCATCTACGGCGAGTGGCTCCTGTATCTCTACAACTCGGCCAACGGCGACGCCAGTCAAAGCCAGTGGACCGAGGAAGACCGCATGGTCGGTCGCGAAGTCTTTTCTTGGCAGTCCGTCCTCGACGTGTGGCAACGAGGTGCCGAATCTACGCGGTGGAGAATCCACGACAGCCATCTGGTCTGGGATCGATTCCTTGACTTGCTCGTGCAAGATCTCTCTCGCAACCCATCACAGGACAAGATCAACCATGTGAGAGGGTTTTTCGACCTCCGCCTCGCGACTCCCCATGCCACCTGGGATCAGACCTTCCAGTTATTTTCCGGGTTCATCTCGACGTATTATAACGCAAACTACGAGAATATCATGGCAGAAATGGCCGGGAAATATTCTACGGCAAGCAAGGAGACGTACTCCGCCCGCGAAGACTTCGAGATCCGGTTGCGCAACGCGGCCGAGGCGGGCGACATGGGACAGGAATGGGTTGTGTTCACCGAATATCTGGAATGGGAGCTCAATCGCAACCGTCGCAAGCGGCACACAAATTTCGACCTAGTTAATGCAGTATACCAGCGCGCCGTGCTGCGCTTTCCGACCGATGCGAACATGTGGGAAGATTTCATCATGTTCCTGATCGACGAATCCATGCACGGTAATACGAATACCACGACGATTTCCACACTCGACCGTGCGACCCGGCACTGCCCCTGCTCCGGCAGCCTCTGGTCACAGTACCTGCTCAGTTCCGAGCGGGAAGGCCAGTCGTTTTCCAAGATCGCGGATATCAAGCACAAGGCCACCAGTACGGGTCTGCTGGACGCGGGCGGCATGGAAGAAGTGCTCAAAGTGCATACAGCGTGGTGTAGCTACCTTCGTCGACGGGCTTTCTTGTCCGATTCCACCGACGAAGACATTGACGTGGCGGAAGTTGGTATCCGGTCTGCTATCGAAAGCGTCCAGGAACTGGGCGAGAAGAAGTATGGCCGCAACTACCAGGGCGACCCATTGTTCCGGTTGGAGCGCATCTATATTCGTTACCTCAGCGAGAGTGGCAGTTGGGACAGCGCGCGGGAGACTTTCAAGGGTCTCGTGGGACGTCGTGGCAATAGCTACGAGTTCTGGCTGACTTACTATGAGTGGGAGCTGATCTCCTGGAGTAAGTTTGTTCAGAACGAGACTACGATTGATGCCGCCCGGCGCACTCCGAACCCCAGCTACGCCACTGCAGTGCTGAAGCAGGCGATCAAGCGGACCGACCTCGATTGGCCCGAGAAGATCATGCAGACCTACATTGCGCACTGCGAGGACTACGAGGATTCGGATGAGCTGCAGCTGGCGATTTTGGAGACGCGCAAAGCGATGAGAGCCGTGACTGCCCGCCGGGAGCGCGACGCAAGGGAGCTGGCTGCGCGGCAGGCTGAACAAGCTGCCGTGGTGGAACAAGCCACCCCGCAGGCGGAAAAGCGCAAACGGGAGGAGGAGACGGGCATGAACGGACTCCCTGCCAAAAGAGCTCGTGCAGAGGAGGCCGAAGTATCGGTTCCCGTGGCCGCCGAGCCGGTCGCTCTTCGTCGTGATCGTGAGAATGCCACGATCGTCGTTAAGAATCTGCCCCATGGCATCACCGAACACAAAGTCCGGCAGTTCTTCCGCCATGTGAGTTGCCCCTTACTGAGTGCGTTGAGATTGTAGTAGCTAACTGAGTTATAGTGTGGTACGATAAATAGTGCTAAATTGCTGTCCAGTGATGACGGCAAGTCCGAGACAGCCATTATCGAGTTCAACTCCAAAGATGAGGCCGTTGTCGCGCAGACGCGTGATCAGAAGATCATTGATGAGCATACGATTGAGGTTCAGTTTGGATCGGGTTCTACGGTGTTTGTGACCAACTTCCCAGCGACAGCTGATGAACAATACATTCGCGACCTGTTCCGTGAGGTGACTTCCCCCCGGTGTTTCACTGATCCAAACGTTGGCTAACCGACTCTGTAGCACGGCGAGATTATCGATATCCGCTTCCCGTCCCTCAAGTATAACACGCACCGGCGATTCTGCTACGTGCAGTTCAAGACGGCCGGAGAGGCTTATAGCGCCACGCAGTTAGACGGGGCGACAGTGGGCAATGGCCTGCACCTGGTTGCCAAGATCTCGGACCCGACTCGCCGGCAGGACCGCCAGGGCCCCATGTACGAGGGACGCGAGATTCATGTGTCAAACCTCGACTGGAAAGCCAGTGAGCAGGACGTGGAGGAGCTATTCCTACGGTTTGGAACTGTGGAGCTGGTGCGCATCCCGCGCAAGGTGGACGGCGGCAGCAAGGGCTTCTGCTACGTGGTCTTCTCGTCTAAGGTAGGTGTTCCGGAGGATGCGCAAATGCGCGAGACTTTTTCTAGCTAATGCATCTTGCAGGAAGAAGCCGAGGCGTCGTTAGTGATGCACGAGCAGCAGTTCCGCTCGCGCCCGCTTCATGTGAAGCTGTCCACCCCGCAAGGGGCCAAACGAAGCGCGACAACCATTTTGTCTCGCGTTGGGACCCGGTCCCCATCGGTCGAGGTCAACGGGGCCAGGCGTGAGGCGAGCGAGGAGGTGCCAAACAGTGAACGGCAAGCACGCACGCTGGGCCTGATGAATGTCCCGGACACGGTGAATGATGCGCGGATCCGAGCACTCGTCGAGCCATATGGCAAGCTGATCAAGATTGTACTGCGGCCTGATCACCAGGGAGCGATTGTTGAGTTTGCGGACGTACATGAAGCCGGCAAAGCGTCCCTGGAGTTGGAAGGGCAGGAAATTACCCCCGGGCGCAAACTGCACATTGGCACGGTACTGGAGATGATGAAGCAATCGGCGGAGAAGAAGAGCAGCAACGGACCCAGCCAAGGTAGCAGCGGCAGCAGCAAGGCCAAAGATAAGCCCAGTGGACTCTTCCCCGTCGCGAAGCCGATCAAGCGCCCGCCGCAGCCAGGCGCGCGCGGCGGCAAGCGCGGCGGGCTGGGAGTGAAACGGGCGACGGCGACGAGCACGGCGAACGGGCAGACGACGACCACGACGACCACGAAGACGACGATGACGACCGACAGCGCCGCCCCGAGCGAGGGGCAGAGCACGAAAAAGAGCAATGAAGACTTCCGAGCGATGATCCAGCGGAGTCGGGCGGGTTGAGGGAGGGCGCGGCGCACAGGATGGCATGGCGGGAACCGGCGTTACCTCTCCGCTTGCTAATGACGACTACTACTACTCTTACTACTCTTGCTACACTTTGCTAAGATTTCGACATGGCGTGATGTGAATTTGACCTTCTACCGGCCAGTGCTGATGTTGAGAAGTTCTTGCTGATGGGTTTGCATTTGCCGCTTTGTGTATTATCATATAGCCTTAACCCTACCGCCGGCTGAAGTTGAATGTAGATTATTATTCCCTTTATTGTTATTGCTTCCTTGTGAATGATACCGTTGTAGACGTGGGTAACTTTTAGTACTGTAAGGTATTTCCGAATACCAAGTATAGATCGATAGGAATTATCCTATAGTAGGGCTATTCCGAATATCCTGGCAGATGGGAGCAGCACGCGGACCGACCAGGTTGTGAAGGGAGCAAGCAAGTCAACCGGTCGGGGAGTTGCAGGAATTCCTCAGGAGGAGAGAGAGATCAGTTGATGTTACTTACTACTAGTTACTAGTTCATAGTTAACTAACTAATGAGAGATAACCATAGGTCAATGTGACCCGCAGCAACACTGATGAAGACTCAATCCCGGTAAACAAGCTCTCTGGTGACCCCGGTGGATGGCCGAGCCCCTTGCTTCCGAAGTTGGCATGATTAATACCTATCATGGATCTAACATAGTAAAGAGCAAAGAAGCCGGGCAGCAGCTGCAGTGCAACGTTCGGGAACCGGTTGGTAGACACTCTCCAAAACAGTTCAAAGTTCAAAGCAGTCCATCCCCGCCATGGGAGGAGGGCGCTTTGACCGAAAGGATCGACGGTCACTCGGTGGTAGGAATGTTTTATTCGTCTGTTGTCCGCTGATGGCTGAGGGAATTACCGGTGGAGAATGGTGATGGACTTGAAGTATCATGCCAGATAGAGGGTTCACTCACTACTAACTATCCTCCCTCCCTTTCCTCATTCAAACATGCGAACCATGAGGACATGACCAGGTCAGTCTTGTCATACACTACTATTTCTCCCTTCCCCCCTCCTTCTCGGTCCTTTTCACGATGCTGAGGTATTTCTTATGAAGTGGGAGGTCCTCGAGGTCGAAATTAGAGATGTTATTTTCTTTCACTTGAGGATGATGATAATACTGAATGGACTGATTTGATGCTTTCGGGGATAAGCTCCCGAGCGCAACTGTCACTGTCACCACCTGACCAGCCCTGCTTGTTTCTGCCTTCAATCCGGCTTTTTAGACCACCTCTCTTTCTCCTCTTCTCCTCTTGATTCCCCTTCTTCTTCTTCTTCTCTTTATCCCGGTCGGGATTCTCATTTCTTCCCCTCTATATAGTTATCCACTTCATTCATTCTTTTTCTCCCTTCTTTCCCCCCTTGGTTCCCCTTTCACCGCCCCCCATCTACTTGCCTGCACGGGCTCTGCTGCTTGTTGTCGTCATCGCTACTGGCCGCTCGCTTCCCCCGCCGTGATGGATTTCCATCTGGTGCCTCGAGGGGAAGACCGTAATTATACCGGGTTCCTCACCAAAACCATTGTCTATACGGCCTCGTTGATTGTATTTCTGGCCTGTAAGTCATGTGGCACTCGTCCGATTCGCTGGCTATGGAGCTAGCAATTAGTAGCTCGAGCTCTCCTGCCATCGATGCAATTCGCGTACGCGCACACGACACAACTAACAAGTTTCTCCACACAGCCTTTGGTCTCACCGTAGCCTCCATCGTCGTTCCAAAATGGGTCACCTATACCGATAAAGATGTTGGTTTTGCCGTCCCCTCCAACTGTGCCCGACCAGCCACTGACAAGAATCACCACTATCCAGCCCCAATGGCGTTACACCTACGGCCTCCACCGTCGCTGCTCCCATGTAACCGGTCAATGCGAGACTTTTCCCCAGAATGATGAATGCCACGGCGACAACCGCTACTTCTGCTCCATGTGGCGCTCCGTCGGGTTTCTGATGTCGTTCGCCATCGTGTTGGAGGGAATGACCGTGGTCGCATATTTGATTGTCCTGTCTGGGGGGAAGCGTCTGCGCGAGTCGGGGTGGAAGATCGTCAGTTTGTTGATTATTCTGTCGGCGGCGGTGCAGGCAGCTAGCATGTCGCTTGTGGTGAGTTCACCGGTGATGATGTGATTTGATTAGTGCCATGCTAAGAAAGGATAGGCATATCTCGTCGATAATGAAGACCGGTTTGCCAGTGGATGGGTCTTGGATGAGTCGTGGATCTTCTGCACCGTGAGCTGGTGCGTGAGTCTGTTTGTCGCCGGGGTGTTGATCCTGGCGGGTACTACGCTGCCGTCGGAGGGTGGCTATGAGTTGATCCCGGATCAGATCAACTGATTGAGCTTGAGCTCATGGAAGTAAAGGATGGATGCAACAATATAATGAGGGATATGATTTGATTGGTAATGAGTGGCGTTGGTGGATGATTGCAGTATGCTTTTCAGCCTGATGTTATTGTTATTGGTATTTGAAAATGGTGTAGTTAGCTGGTATAGTTAACGTGATATAATTAAGAGAATATGATGATACTATGTCTATTACAGGTTTCTATTCATCGCCTTCTCTCTTCTGTCACCTACCCATCTTCTATTTTGGTTTCAGATACTGTTGCAGAGAGTCAGAGCCATCAAGGTAGGTAGCTATGCATGCTTTAGCAGCTGATTATCACATATGCCCGCATTACTTCTCGCTGGCCTACTGGTATAAAAGTATCCGTATCGATGGTCTAGAACTTGTGTTGTACGGATATAACTGTTTTAGATTGATGAGTGGTGTACATGTGGTTGTGTAACTGTTTGCTGTTGCCTTTGGCTATTATCAGAGTGATGATTAGGAGGTTGTGTAGTGACCAACCTTATACTCCATAGTTATGGAGATGTAGGCACTTTTACTCTCCATTACTACTCTTATACGCACACTTACTGTACCATTTTCATACATTACATTAAATCACAACAACAGTCATCAGCTGACCCAACCCAGATAGATAGTAACTAGTAACTAGTAACAGAGATAACCCCCGCCCACCGATAAGCCGATAAGTAACTCAAGTCCCTGCATATAAAAAGCCCATGCACCACTTGACACCGACCCCACCTATTTTCCTTCCCCCACACCAACCAACTAACCAACATCCTCACATTTCACACACACACTCACCTAACCACCAAATCACCACAACCACAACCACAACCATGCCCGGCCTCACCCCCGACCAACTCTCCACCTTCAACACGACCGGCTACCTCATAATCCCCGACTACCTCACCCCCGCCGAAATCTCCGCCTGCCTAACCGAAACCGACAACCTCCTGACAACCTTCCCTTTGGACACCCACCCCCTCACCCAATTCACCACCGGCGACACCTCCCCAACAGACAAACACGTCGGCGACACCTACTTCCTCGAAAGCGGGGACAAAATTCGGTACTTCTTCGAACCCTCCGCCATCAACCCAGCCACCTCCACCCTACTCAAGCCGAAACACCTAGCCGTGAACAAAATCGGACATAGCCTGCACACGCTCTCCGAGCCCTTCAAGTCCATTACGCTTTCCCAACGCAACGCAGATATCGCCCGATCATTGGGGTTCAAAGACCCAAGAGTGCTGCAAAGCATGGTGATTTGCAAGCAGCCCGGGATTGGAGGGGCGGTGCCCCCGCATCGTGATAGCGAGTTCTTGTATACGGATCCGCCGAGTGCGGTTGGGTGGTGGATTGCGTTGCAGGATGCGGGGAAGGGGAATGCGAGTTTGGGGATGGTGAGGGGGAGTCATAGGAGGCGGGATGGGGGGGTGGGGAGGAGGTTTGTTAGGGTGCATAATGAGGATGGGAAGGTGGAGGGGACGGGGTTTGTGGAGAATGAGGGGGGGAGGTTTCCGAGGGGTTTGGAGATTGATGATGAGGGTGAAGGGGAGGATGAGGTCGAGGTGGTGGATGTTAAGGCGGGGTCGTTGGTGTTGATTCATGGGAATGTGTTGCATAAGAGTGAGAGGAATACCGGGGATAAGAGTCGGTTTGCTTATACGTTTCATGTTATTGAGGGGGCGGAGGGGTGGGAGTATGATGGGAGGAATTGGTTGCAGCCGACTGGGGAGGGGTTTTCGAGGTTGTATGGTGATCATTCTAAGTAGTTTGTGGTTATCTTGATGTGTAGGGGGAGTGTGTTGAGAAGAAAGTATGCATGTATCATCTATGTAGCCACCAAACTCCATCCAGGTATCCAATAGTAGTAACTATGCTTTTTGTATTGTTTCTGCCTGCTCACGCAGCAAGCATCTCCAACATTCCCTTCGTCTGGTACGCTTGATGCGCCATCTCCACCTCGTCGCGCACTCGTCGGTGCAAGCGCTCCACCATCTTGTCGATCTGCGCCGACTGGCCCAGGTTGCCCGAGTAGATGTCCAGCACGTTCATCGCCACCTCCACGCTCAGCTGCACCAGTCGCGGCTCCGTGATGTTCTTGTGCACCCATTGCAGCACCGGCTGCAGCGTCACCTCGTCGCGGTTCTGCAGGGACGCCCGCAGCGCGGACCGATGCCGCAGCGCCGTCAATAGCGTCAATTGTGCCGTCTTGTCGTTCGACCGCAGCACCTGGTCCAGGGCTGCCGAGTACTTCGCCTTGCGCAGGTCGAGTTCCCACGGTTGCTCCTTCTTCCGCTTCTTGAGGTCCCGCCCCTCGATCACAATGTCCACGCCCTCACCGACAAAGTCCTGTCCGCGCAGACGCTTTTCCCACCCGGATCCGCGCTGCTTCTTCTGCTTGGCTGCCTTCCGGTCGTGCTCCTCCAGCTTGCCCTCCAGCAGCGCCTGCATCTCCTTGCGACGCTCGCGCTCGCGGATCTTCTGCTGTCCGGACAGCCGGGTCTTGATCGACAGAAGACCGGACTGCATACCGACGGCAATGTGCTTGTCCTCCTGGGCGAGACCCGATGTGATCGCGCGCAGCGAGAGAATGGGGGACGGGTACTTGGAGCCCGAGACCATGTTCCAGCCGGTCGTTTCGAATACCTTCATGTGGCCGTCCAGCGCACCGGAGAGCAGGCGCTCGCCGTTCGACGCCAGCGCCAGCGACGTGACGGTCTTTTGGTGGCTCTGAATCATGTGCAGGGGCTTGCCGGCCACGATATCCAGCACCGCGATCTTGTTGTCGGCCGCCGCAAGCACCGTCGTGCCCGTGGGCATGGGGAGCACCGTCTCGATCGCTGCGCCCATCTTGAATGTCATTGCGGACCGATTTTCGACACGGGGATCCCACAGTCGCACGGTCCGGTCGTAACTACCGGAGACCACCAGGCCGGAGGAGGCTAGAGATCCAGGCATGAATGCACCGCTGCGCACGTAATCAGTATGGCCAGTGAAGACCTTCTGGCTGTTCTCGCTGGGCAGATCCCACAGTCGTACCGTGCGGTCATCACTGGCGGTCATGACGCATGTAGGGTCGCTGGGGGAGAATTTCGTGACCCAGACGGGCTGCTTGTGGTCCTTCCATGTCTTCAAAATGGCACGGGAGCTCACGTCGAACACCTGCACCGTACCAGAGTCATCACCGACGGCGATGACTCGTCCGTCGGGACGAACATCTGTGCCTCGTACCGTATCATCGAAGCGGGTGATTGTGCGGAGGAGTTTGCGAGTGCGGATGGAGTAGATCTGGACGCGGGCGCCGGTGGTCACGGTGAACACATCGGGGGGTTGGGTGAGGGAGGGGAAGGCGGAGGCAGAGGAGGGAGCGGAGGGTTGCGTGATGAGGTTGACGGGGCCATTGGCAGGCGAGGGGATGAGGAGAGGATTCTTGAAGGTCTTCCAATATTGTTGCTCCGGCGTCAAACGAGTCGAGGGCAGCGCCGGCAGCTTGACCTGCTGCAGAGGGAGGACGGGGGCAGCCATGGCTGCGATTGCCTAAGTTGGGATAGATTAATGGGAAGCAGAATGTAAGACTGCCGAATTGTATAACGAGGAGAGATCAGCTAGCAGCCTGCGCTTTGGACGTTGTCGGCGTCGTCAAAGTGGTTCGGGGAAATTTTTTGGACGGAGCCTCTATCGCATCGGGAAAAGTCTATCGGCACCCGATTAGGTTTAGCGCGGATACTGCTATAGTCCATTCGAAGTTGATCCCATCAGCAAATTATCCATCAGGAAGAATCTTGTGAATTTTGCCCTTATGAGATTCAAAGATTGGAATATACTGCTATGCATTGTGGCTTTGAGTAGCCCCCACTCATGAGTATTGTTTCTCAGGTGTTCACGATGGGTATCCCATCAGATAGTCCTCGATTTTGTGAGAAATCTCTTGTTACTAGTATTAGTTGATAGACACTGGTAGTCACTGATTTCCGACCATTATGAAGATAGAATCCAGAGGAAAGTGGTATTGAGGTATATGTGGTTGAGTGCTGACACTGAGAGTGACTTGTAGGATAGCATTTGACAGAACCATTTTTAAGGACTCTTAGAAGACCGGAGACCATTTCTATGAAGAGCAATTGTCTCAATTGCAATATAGTTATATATCTAGATATATAAAAGTCAATTTATGCAATTAAAAAGTCACCAGGATCTTTCTTTCTGCTCACTTTTTAGTAAAGATGAATAGGGAAGACAAAAGTACCTCGCGGCTGGTCTGTCCGGGCCGTAGCTTCCCTGACACTAACAACAGCAGATCTACTATCTACAACGGGGGCAGCCACCCAAATATTCATACATCAAACCCACACAGACAACACATAGGGCCCTCTCCTCTCTACTTTTCTGACTGTTATTATCCCCGTACCCATCATTGGACAGCAATCTGCAAACGTCCAGACCGCATTTAAAGGTCCAGGCCCATCTCACCGCCGAACGCCAAACCACGTCATGAATCAAGAGCTGAAACTACTGCAAAGCTGGTCGAAGTCAGTATCGGTGACCAGTTCAGACAATGCGCTTACTATAGTTCCATTACCATTGCTGACCGGTAGCTTCTATCTCTATCTAGATTCCAGTCACCGTCTGCTCCACAGTTGTGCGTGTTGACCAACACAGACCCAAGCATTGGACAACTTGGATTCGAGGTCTTGAACAGCCTCAACAGCCTCATCAACGCCTTACCAAAAATGATATCCACCTCACCTCACAGTCAAGTGTGACTAGATGTGACGATGTCTCCGACCTCATGCCCTATCACAGTCTGAGGCCCACTTGAGCACCGACATCTATGCTGTCACCATCAGACAATGGTAGCTTAGATTAGCCAAGGACCATTGTGGAGTGAGACATTGACCGTTTTTATTCTGATCGGGCAGGATTGGAGTTATACTTGGGTATACAGAATGGATCCTGCTATGGATCAGTTGTGG